CAGAAAATCACTCTTAAGTTGGAATCGCCCGATAATAAGATGTACATAAGCTTACATGGTTAATGAATGAACGTAAGTAAATAAGCTTCTTCTAGCGCTAAATATATTCAAATATAAGCTAGATTTGGGCAACCTACCTATTAATTCCCGCTCCTTCGTTATCACTTTGGTAATTGCTGCATTCCACTGTTCTTGGGAATCAATTTCAAATACTCTGCCCTTTGGACAGTTCGCTGTAACTTGAAAATCTTTCACACTGATCGTCACTCTGAATCTCGCTATTTTTAGCTGGCTACACCGATCTGCGATTCCAAATCCTTCTCTTACTCGAAAATAAAATCAAACAAAATCTTGTCACTTTCGCCCCCGATTCCCATTTCAAGGGACCAGCGCATTGCTGGTTTTTCTTCGCCATTTCGATAAATTGCCGCAGTGACAGGCAACAGAACAAGATCGGCAAACCACCTTTCCGCCATCTTGTCAATAGGCTGATTTAGCAAGAGAACGGGAACGTCACTTGACAACGGCGCGCGCAGAACAAACACCCAAATATGGTCAAATTACAACAGAATCCAGCTTATTGCGCGCGCCCTGCAGTCGTCATCTGACCATATTTGGTTATTTGTGCTGCGCGCGCCGGCGCCGTCGTCAAGTGACGTTCCCGTTCTCTTGCTAAATCAGCCTAATCTGTAACAACACAGCGTCAGATTCCCGCCAACTTGTGACCCTCGTGACCTCTAACCCAGACTCCCAGCTGAGAGCCTTGACTTTGTTTGAGTTCTTTGACTCCAGACTAAACCAGGGCTAAACCAACGTCGGAACGGCAGTGGTGCATAAATGACCATAAATAAAAACTCCGAAATAATGCTCTCTATTTCTTATATCAGAATGTTTTCGTACTGTAATTTTTCGAATTTTGTTCCCCTGTTCCCAAAAATTGTCTAATGTTCCCTTGTTCCCTTCGATATTTTGCCAATGTTCCCTTGTTCCCCAAAACCCCTGGGAGACCCTCATTTGCTTTTAGTAGAGATTACACATTACATTTGGAAACCCGCTAGTCTGATGATTTATTCATCAATTATACATGTATAAATAAGGGTCTCTATATTTTTTCACAGTTATTTGCACGAATGATAAATTATTGTTATTTACTGATTAATGTTATTGTGACGGAATAAAGTTTTGCTGGTTGCAGTTGCGTCCCAGTGGCGGATCCAGACTTTGAGCTAAGGAGGGGGTCCGGTTTTGTTTTACTTGCCCTGCCGACTTTTCGTCCTTCAGTCATTTCTTCTCTTTTCACCCAGAATAAGAGGGGAGGGCCCGGGCCCCGCGGGCCCCTCCCCTAGATCAGCCACTGCTTCCTAACTAAAGTGGGGAGTGAGGGAAGGGCCTCAAATTTTAGCTATGGTTTGTTTTTCCTTTACGCATCATTTCCACAAGTAAGTTATTAAAAAAAAATTGGGGTGGATGCTCTAAAGCAAACAAAAGTCTTGCCTGACCACAAAAGGTTTGTTCGTGTGTTTTGGGGGATGCTATAGGGGAGGTCTCAATAATTAAAAAGAGGGAAGCTAAAAAACAGATATTGTATATATCTTTAAAGCAGAAGCTTCTTAACAGGTAGTAACAGGTACATACATAACAATCTGTGGAAGACACAAACTAAATTTCATGTTCAGACCATTTGCTACATCATCCAGGTACATAGTGGAGTATCATAACAAGGACCTTTGACTCATTTTGGCAATTTAATATCAATACATTTTGGACTGTCAGAATCTGATCTGCTTGATCTTTCAGAGAGAGAAAAACACACTCACCTTCGGATTTCCATTGCCACATTTGCTTAGCAAGAGTGATATTTCTTCGTCTTTTCACCTGGCTCTAAGTTTCCTTTTGAGCTTTTCATAATGGAAGACAAACGTTTCTTCAACCCACTGCTGATTCGAACGTAATTTTATGATTTCTTGGGCTATGGTCAGCGACAAAGTAATTGTTGTATTAGCTGGTTGATTCTCAGAGTTTTAAACGTTTCTTCCCACCTTCCCAAGAACTGAGATAAGTCATATCTCGGCTTAAGAACGGTAAAGCACCCGGTGTGGATAGCATTAGTGTAGAAATGCTAGAAGCCAGCCCTCCAATTGCTTGGACCAGCTTCTGAATATCTGCAATCAGACTCTTGATCAGTGTAAAGCACCATCTGACTGGAAGAGAGCTCTCCTGGCCAAAATACCCAAGAAAGGTGATCCATCTATTTGTGACAACCACCGAGGGATATCCTTACTTTCAGTACCATACAAAGTCTTCTGCAGAATGCTCCTGATGAGGATGCAGGATGGAGTTGAGAAGAAATTACGGCAAGAAC